TAAATACAGCTCCTCTTTTACTATTACCGTCCTTAAAAGACCATTTTGCCCTCCTCACTAAAAAATAATTCTTCAAAGAATCATAGATGTCAACTTAGTAGTATGGATACGTTTCTTATCTTTTATTTAAAATATTTACCTTCATCATTAAAATGAAATATATATATAATTTTTATTTTATTTTTTTGCAAAAATAATTCTAGCTCGGGTAGATTTCATATCCTGGCTCCGCCCCTGGCCGCAGGGGCTCACGGACGTGGATGTGGAGGCTCTTGGGTGCCGCAGCTAGGGCTCCTTGGACGTGGGTTGCTGCTTGGAATGTTTGTTGCTACTCGCCAAGGGGCTGCGATCAGGGGCGGACGGACATATAGGTTATGGGGTAGCCATGGTCCCCGCAAACTTTTGTGTTTTTTCACCTAAGTATGTATCTATATCTATATCTATATCTATATAAAAAGGTTTGATTATTTTTTAAACAGTAACTATTTCTTTTCAAAAAAATCTATTTACTATTTCAGGAAATTAATTTAACAATTTATGGTATATATTTCAATTAATCACTTATGGAAATTGCCGTTCATTATTTAAGGAAAATGATATAAGCCATAAAAAATTTATTTTTAAGATACCTTAATTACTCAAATCATGTGAATTTGGCTGATTTGCCTAAATAAGGGAATGCTGCAATATGAATTATGTGATTTTGTAAAAATCTTCCAACTAAATTGTGTAATTAATTATTTATTAAGTGCTTTATATTTTCGTGTAATTATTTTGTGAAATGCATATTTAATATACCTTAATTACACAAATTATGTAAATTCGGATGGTTTATCCAATCTGCAAATAATTACTAGAATTATGAAAATATCGACTAAAATAATAAATTATGTGATTTGCAAAAAACTATTCTAAAATATTGTGTTAATGATAATATTTATTTAAATATTATTTAATAATTGTTATTTATTTTTTGTATATTTAATTACTCAAATTGTTGATAATTAAGAAAATAATTAGACCATAAAAATTTACATTTTTAAGATACCCTAATTACACAGTCGAGTAAATTTGATTGATTTATTCAAACATAAATTTTTTTATCAAATTATTCCAAAATAATTGTATTAGTGGCAACTTCTATTTAATTATTTTTTAATAACTGTTTTTGGGTCTTTTTTATTTTTATCTATAAAAAACGTTGGTCTCGATTTTGTTTTGTACGCTGGGCAAATAATTTTTTGGTAAAAATAAATATCATTTATTTGTATTTTATCGATAAAGTATGAAATCGAATTATTTGGTATACTATATATTGATCCAATATACTTGCTTATGGTAAAAAATGGTATCTCAATTTTTTTTTTTTTTTATATATTCTAAGCATTTTACTCGATATTAATGAGAGAAAAATCTGGAGAATACAATAGTTTGTAAATGTGCGTGGAACATATCAAATTATTTTGTGTATATATATACATACATAAAGGTTTGCATTTACTTGAATCACATTGTAGTCAAATCGAGTTTCTGAATAAAATTTTAAAATGACATCTATTTTGAAATAAATATAATGTAAGTTATTATTTGTTACTTGCACCGTACGGGCCGTACACCAATTTTAAATAGACATATTTAATGTAATTTTGCACCATTTATATTTCATATAACATTTTCAACACATTAATATAGGTAAGTTGTATTACATATCGATTCTATATTTTTAATCTATAAATATTATTGAATGAGCATTTTTAATTTATAAATATTCAAGAATATTTCTTACTCGTGCATCACACGGGATTCATACTAGTCTATTATATTAGATTAAGTACATTTATTTATTATTGTCCCCTCTAACCAACTAATGATTTATTTATTTTGATCAAGTGTGCTAAGACATGTCAAGTCCATTAGAGATATATTTAAAAAACTCCATAAAGCTCAACTCCACCTTTTATATTATACTATATTATTTATTTATTAATGAAAAAAGGGCACAACAAGCTAAAAACAAAAAAACAAAATTCTGTGCAACAAGTCCAACAACAATTCCTTGAGTATTTTGATCATCTTTTTATATTTGTGAGTACTTTAATTTATGCTCATGTTCATAATTTAATTTATTTATATTTTTTAGGGATTTAGGGTTTAAAACTAGCACTCAATATGTGTATTTATTCATCATTCTGAAATTTCTTAATTCATTCTCTCTAGTTTGGTCAATTTGATAAAAAAAATTATTGAAGAGATGTATCATTTGTCAAGAACAGATGGATCATATATAGACTTATATCATTTTTTTTTATTTATGAATCATATATTAATATACAGGCTTATAATATTTTTTAATTAGGTTGAGTCTTACTCATCCTGTGTCTACGGCGACTGCAAAACGTGCATTTTTTGCTATAGATATCGTTAAATCTAAACTTCGAAGTAAAATGGAAGATGACTTTCTTGTAAATTCTTTGACTATCTTTTTTTTTTTAAGTAATTCTTTGACTATCTTTATTGAAAGAGAAATTGCAAGATCCATTACTACCGAGTCAATCATCGATGGGTTTATTGACTTGAGAGAACGTTGAGCACAATTCTAATATTCACAAAGTTTGAACGGTATGTATTTTTTGAACTACTTTTTTCTTTTTTCTATTCTAAAAATGCAACATTGTCTTTTTAATGAAGTATGTCATTATTGAAAATTATTTTGTCCCCTAAATAATTTTTTTTTGATCCGTCCCTGACTGCGATGGTGATGACTGCCGTGAGAGGGGATGGTGGCGATGGGATTTTAAGGAGAGAGTTTGGGGCGATTCTTGCGTGATCAGTTTTGCTGTGATTTTTTTTGTGTGATTACGTGAGGGAAAATAAAAACTTGATGAGGGAAAGCATTTAGAAATTTGGAAGGAAAGAACTTCTCTTGCTTGGTCAAGGGAAAAATTTGGAGAGGTTGGGACTCTCTCTCTCTTATGCACGGCCAAAAGAAAAAGAATGAGGGAGCTTGGCCGAGAATTGCATATATTTTACTTAGGAAATTATTTGGCAAAATAATTTAGGAAAATGGAAAATAAAATGGAAGGAAATTAGGAAAATTTGGAAGGAAAATGGAAGGAAAATGGAAGGAAAATAAAATGGCTGAGACATATGAATTATTTAGGAAATTAGGAAAATTTGGGAAAATTCTCCTTTTCCTCTCTTGGACTTTAATTAATTGATAAAAATTATGATTAAAGAAATTTTAGTTAAGGAAAATTAAATAGATGGGGATATTTAATTAATCTCCATTTATTAATAAATTAAATAGACGAGGACATCCACTTAATTTCTATTAAAAAAAGCCAAGCTTAATAAAATAAAATACATGAATTGAACTATGCTCTTTAAAACGAATTGGGCACTGCAATTTAGTAAAATGCATGAATTGAACTATGCTCTTTAAAATGAATAGGGCACTACAATTTAGTTCATACAAAATGTACATTTAGTTCATCCATAGTGTATATTTCTTATATTTAAATTAAATATACACATGATGCATAATTTGTTCATTCATGATGCATATTTAATTCATACGAAATGTATATTTAGTTCATCCATAGTGCATATTTGTTATATTTAAATTATATATATAATTGTATATATAATGATGCATATTTAGTTCATTAATGATGCATATTAAGTTAATATATGAAATTCATATTTGTTATATTTAGATTAAAAATATAACGATGCATATTTAGTTAAGTCATGATGCATATTTAGTTCATTGATGATGCATATTTAGTTAATACGAAATGTATATTTAGTTTATCCATAGTGCACATTTATTATATTTAAATTAAATATATACATATGCACATTTAGTTTATTCATATTGCATATTTAATTTATACAAAATACATTTTTAGTTCATCCATAATGCACATTTGTTATATTTAAATTAAATATATACATGACGCATATTTAGTTCATCCATAGTGCATATTTCTTATATTTAAATTAAATATATATATGATGCATATTTTGTTCATTCATTGTGTATATTTAGTTCATACGAAAATTTAAATTAAATATATAAAGGTGCATATTTAGTTCATTCATAATGAATATTTAGTTCACACGAAATGCATATTTGGTTCATCCATAATGCATATTTGTTATATTTAAATTAAATATATAAATGTGTATATTTGGTTCATGCATAATGCATATATAGTTCATACTAAATGCATATTTAGTTTATTCATAGTGCATATTTCTTATATTTAAATTCAATATATACATGTGCATATTTAGTTCATTAATGATGCATATTTAGTTAATTGATGATGCATATTTATTTTATGCGAAATGCATATTTGTTATATTTAAATTAAATATATAAAATGCATATTTAGTTCATACGAAATGCATATTTAGTCTATCTATAGTGCATATTTGTTATATTTCAATTAAGTATATATATGATGCATATTTAGTTTATAAATTGTGCATACATTATATTGTTGATGCATATTTACTTCATAAGGATTGCCTATTCAATTCATACCAAATGCACATTTAGTTTTGCATCAAGTGCATACTACTAAGTGTTTATTTACTTTATACATAATGTATACTAAGTTAAAAAAAATAAGTCAATGTCGGAAGCCAACGGTAAACTCTGGAAGTCAATAGTCAATGTTTTTTTTTTTTGTTTTTTTTGTTTTTTTTTTCAACGACATGAATTCTCATTAGATGATAACAAAATAACAATGTGCATCCCAAACCGCAGCACCTGGGAGGTTACACATCTATTGGCAACCTAATCGAAGCTAAACCATAACCTTTAACCTGCTATCAATACCAAACTACAATCATTACCAACTTATCTGCATACACACAGATCAACAAACAGCACGATCCAAACTCATCACAAGTTTACAGAAAAGAAAAAAAGACAGCAAAACACAACTGACACTAGACCTAGTGTAAGCTAGTCTTCTCCCTTTTCTGTTTCAGAACTCGGCTTTATGATCTAGCCATTCCTGCATAGCCATCTTTACTATCCACCATTCCGGCTGCCAAATTTTCTCAAAAACCCACATGTTCCTCGCCTTCCATAACCACAAAAGGATATACGTTGACAATTGAATGCGATCCTCTGAAACCTCTATATAATCCAATGCCTATATATTTACATATGTACATATACTGATATACACACACATATTTCTACGGTATTAATTGTGTAGCCACCACTTACGGTGCTGTGTGTTTATATGCTCTGCCCTTAAGAGGTCTGTTTTCTTATTTCTTTTCCCATTAAAAGTAATACAAATTGTAGGATGTTGCATTTGGTGCAGTAGTTCACCTTTGACATGGAGATCGTGGCAACAAATGATTGGCAGCTTGAGATTTTGTCAAGTGAGCAACTGGATCGAAAGAGCAACAAGATCGAGCGAATATAAAAATGAAATTAAAATCGGTTTTAGTTAAGCAACTGCCCAGAATATATCTGGTTCAAAAGCTTCTAATTGTTTTGAAGCTTACACAATGTTAANCTTGGGCCATTATATATACAGTAACATCATAAAAAAGTGTAAAAGTTGTAGAATGTCTCGACATGCAAAACAAAGAGAGTTGAACTTGACGTCGATTTTTCTGTTAACCATAAAGTCGTAGTCGAGTAGTGATGGGCTGCCGGCACAAGGGGCATGAAGATATTGACACACCACAATCCTTGCATGTCTACAATTTCAACAAATGTAAAGAATATGATAACAATACCAAGTCACTCCTCAAATTTCCATTAATAGAAACCTTTCTTAAGCTTAAGCAATTAAGTTTATAGAAAAATCACGCCAAAATACGTATGTTTTAACTGAAAACATAAATAACCCATGTCCCTAGTAGTTGTCTCCATAGCATTGTTTTAACAAAACCATGAGAAAAGTTCAGGTGGTTATTAAGCAGTCGAAGATTATCTAGACAACCAGGTAACATAAGAAAGTAAAAAATTCACTTTTTAGTAGTCAATAGTAACTAGAGTACTTAGTGCGCTGAGTTTAAGAGTTGTAATAAATATCTTAGACTGGCATAAATCAAAATGTGCTAATGCTCTTACCAGATGGCCACAGCCAAAAGCCATGTCCTTGGGTTTTGTCAAGCAGATGGGGCACACCTGAATATAGGAAAACCAAAAACCAAAAAGAAACAAACACTTAAACAAATTGAAAGCCAAAACATATTGAAAAATAGTAACACTAACTATTACAAACAGCCCATGAAATCACTTACTTGTTCGGGTGATGGTCCTGATTCTGTTGGTTCTGAGGATGCTACTTTTGGGCGCGATTTCTTAGCATTATCGTTGTCGATTACAGCACGTGGTGGAGGAAGAGGTTTTGTCCTTGGACCTGAATTTAAATTTCTACATCCCCACCAAAAGAGGAAAAAGTATCAAACAAAATCCAAAAAACATATCTTTCTTTACGTGTTTGGTTTATTAATATAGAAGATATAGTTTCTGAAAAAATTACAACGACAAGTAAATGTGTTTCTCACTCTTTATTTTGCAGTTTCAATGTTGCTCTGTACTGAAGTGGAATTTCCATTAGAGCTGCCAGGGCAAAAGCTGATTCTTTTCTGGCAGTATCAGTGTGTTCGGACATGATTTTCGTGAAGTTGACAAACTGGCGAAAATGATAAGGTAGAAGATGTCACTGAAATAAGATATATTAATGAATGATAATTGGACACTGTAATTAATTTCAATGTCGATATTAGAAATTACAGATTGTACTGAGACGAGGTGAAACATGATATATAATTAATTATGGTATAAATTTTTCCCAGAAGATTACACGTTACCTGGAAATTGTCAAATGCACGCTGAGGAATATTATCATCAAATTCTTGCATTGCATCCCACGGCCCATCTCCCACACCAATTAGAATGATTGATAGTGGATATTCACTATATCATTTTTATGCGCCAAGGATTACAAAAGCAAAGAGAAAGGAATCAGCTAAAAATCAAGTATCCTTTTGCAGAAGTTTTTTGTAATTGTCCCTAACTTAAAACTAGCTAATAAATCTGATTCACCTTGCAGCAACGATAGAATCGATGGTGGCTTGTTCTTGTGGACTTAACTTTCCAGGTAACGTGTCAGGGCTTCTAGTGACCTAATTCCACATTCAATGAATAAACTTATACAGAACATGTAACAAATTGCTTTGACAAGCCAATATTAAGCTCATACTAAGCCAAAAAAGTAGAGTACAACCTGTCCATCAGCAATGATAACAAGAACATGATACTGAAAATGGCTCTTTTCCACTATATCAAGTGCAGCATCAATTACTGGTGCAAATGAGGTTGGCCCTATATGTCAAGCACCAAATTCAAAATAAACAAGAATCATCAGTCACTCTAATTTTTTTTCCATGTCTACAAAGATGAAAACAATCGGATAGCAAATTTCATTTTTCTCCCATGGAAAGCAGAATGAACTCCTAAACTCATCGAACAAGTAATTTATGACTAAAACAACAAAATTGGTGAGCTACCATTAACTATTTACGGATATGTTTCTTCAGAATCCGAACACAATCGATTTCATTCCCATTGCATGCCAATTATGAATCAAAAAATAAATAATAATAATGAAACGAAACCCCTAATATCAAGTGAATGATTACCTGATAAATTTAAATGTGGAAGAATTTCTTTGTATCGTGCAAGGGCTTCCTCAAATCCATTACAAGGTCGATGATCGGGGTAAAAGCTGAATACGTATTCATCATGTGTTGTTGCTGCGAATAAAAAATGATTGGATTAATACATAGGTAACTGAATCAAAATAAAAATAACAAAAACACATAAAGAATGGAAAAAGAAAACTAACCATCACCAAATCCAAAACAAGGTATCAAATTGTCCTCATCAAAGGGAGACAAAGTTCTTCCAATGATAGAAATAGCTTGCTCATAAGGGTTTCGTACATTACCAATTGCGTGAAGGCTCCTCCTGTTGAAAGAAAACTTTCCTATGAACATGATTAAGTCAGATGGTCCAATCCAGTAATCAAGAACCTAATAAAGTAAGTAAATAGTACTTTGTACTAAACGAGCCTTTTACCTGTCCATTCATTGCTCTTCGTAAAATCAATTCCGAGAATTAAATTCGATGATTCCAGACCAGCCTCTCTCAATGCATTGATAACCTGAACATAGGAATTAATAAATAAAAATGGAAGCAAACTACTTAAATACTCGACAACCACATATGCTCAAAGAATCTCATTTCTTGATAAACACTAAATCCCAATAAGTTAGGTGTTGTTCATACCTCATCCAGAGAGTTGAAGTTGTCAGCTATATAAGCAGAGTGCTTTTTCTTCCTATAATTCGTATTAACTGAAGTTTGGGTTTGATTCGAGTGGTAAGTAACATTTCTTGAGCTTGTAGCGTGTTGTGGGAATTGACTGTATACAGCCGGTTGGCCTGAGATATTTTCATACATGTCCTCAGGTGAAGATTCACTGTTTCCCATAATGTGTGTGTTTATGTCAAAATGTATCTACTAATTAAGAGCTCTGCACAAATGATGATAAGAAGCAGTATATGAGACGGCTGATGTCTTAACTCTTGAGTCCACTTGCAAATATCAATAACAATAACACTGAAAGTATTGTATCCACCATTTGTTATGGCTAATAATGCGATTTGATTAATAAAAGAGATTGTTGTGTAGAGTTACATGGGACACGAGATCAAGTCCCAACACGAAACCGACTCAAATCTCCAAATTTTGAGATTACGGTGAAGCATAAATTCATATTTTATCTTTGATTCAAATTTTTTTTCCCATATAGATCAGATGAATTTTTAATTTACAGGGTGGACATTATGCAGTATGCTTTAACAAGCTGTATATGATGCTATTGTCAACCAGATAATGCTAATCAAGGAAAAGTAAGATCAAGCGAACAACAAAAATTATACGGTGGCAATTTGTAAATGCAGAACATCATCCTTTGTTTATGGCTGATAATAGCATAATATATAATGAATAATTGGCTGCCAAGTAAAGTGACCACACAAGCATACACTTCTAACCTCTAAAGAGGAAAAGGAGAAGTAAATGAAAAACAAAATTCTCAGTTGTAATCTGCTTTCCATTACTGAGACACTTCTCTTTTTCCTTATGCCAAACTGCAAAATCGTACAGATGAAGGAGCTTCACATGAATTGCAGCAGGACATTAGTTAGATTAAAGGTGAAGAAAGGTTACTTTCTTTTGATTGCCTAAATATAGAAACTTAGATTCTTGTTCCTCCAAGATGAAAACTAGAGTTCTCAATTAATCCTTTTCATATACCAAAACACTTGCCACATAGTCATCAACCGATACAAACATAGTCAATTCAAAAAACCTCTGTCATACCAAAGAATCTAAAACAAAATGAACAGACAAAAAGGATAAATGGCATCCTCAAACTCATAATTAAAAACAATCAAAACAATTAGAATTGATCAGCAAACAAATTAGAATATACAAGAATTAGCAGGGAGAGAAACAGAAGCTTGTACCTTGTTGTTAGGTAAGACAAAAGGATGAAATATGCGCTGAAAGAAAAGAGAGATTCAACCAGACAGCTCTTCTAGTTTTTCTATTCTGATCATAGAGTATACGTATGCGTATGCGCAACAATAATGTTAAATTTTGTCAACGATAAAAAATTCGCTTGGGCAAAACTTTAAGTCTGTGATTTCTTTAAGGCTTCTGCTATTCATTCTTTAATGCTTGCACATCTTACTATCATTTTAATCAATCTTCTCAGTTTATTATTTTTAATATGTTGGCTTCTCTTACAAAACTTCAAATTCAAACAAATATAAATAATAAATAAATTGAATACCGATTCACTAAAAATTTTGAAAATTATCCTATAATTTTTAAAACTTTAATAATGTCCAATTAAACTACTCGTATAAATCTTTAAGACAATATCTAGCATCGGAATTTCTCTAATTATATTTTTATGCATGACCTAAAAGTCCGGCGAAAATTCTTCCTTAATTTTATACTAAATGCATTGAATTGAGGCGGTGTGGAGATTTCATAAGAGCATCTCCAATGTGGCTTTTGACATTATAAAAATTCATCCACATCATCAATTATTGAAAGTGTGTTATTAATTTATTCTCTAATGCGTCTTGTCATTAACTCTTTCATGATGAGGTGGATAGCATTTAATGTTGACAATGTTGAATACACTTTCTAATATCTAACACCATGTTAAACATGATGACTAATCAATTCACTTTATATTTGATTTAATTTTTTATTGTTCTTGTATTAATGATTATTTTAATTGGTCCACCTATACATATAACTTCTCATCAAATTGATGCATTGGAGATACTAGTTTGATTCAAATTTCTACTCTTCTAACATTATTCCTACATGAATTAACAGTACAATCATTGATTGACATGTGTTAAAAATCATTGTCTTTCAAATCTATAACATTGAAGATGCTCTAATACTAGCAGTGGAAACATAGTTGGCAGGTTCCATATTCAACAATTATGTGTATGGGGCAAGTTTCTTTTACGCCCTTGTATATTTATGGTCTTTCTTTTACACGCTACTCTATTAAAAAAAAATCTTTTCATCCAAAACTCACGAAATGATATGCTATATAAAAATTGCATATCCAAAATAACTGCATAACTAAAAATTATGTGAAATATTGTCACATATATATATATCAATGCATATTTAAATCGGACAATTAAATATTTCCGCATATATTGTAATCGCATATAAAACTTTACCGCATAATTGACAGGCTCAAATTCTATATATATATATATATAGGGTCACGCTCCGGTAAGAATGGTTCTCAGTGAAAGAAATACGAATAAATCATAGTCATTCGATCGGATGATCTAATGGCTATAAAAAAGAAAAAATATTATACTCATTAAGGGTATTTTAGACATTTACAATACCATCCACTTATCCAACTCATTAGTGGGCCCATGACACATCATCACCACTGTTGATGACCGACTTGGTTTCGTGAGATTAAGCTAAAGACTAACCGCCCCGTTCGATCAATGATCCCCCAGAAATAGCTGAACTTAGCTCAAGTCGGTACCAGTGGAATAGATTAATTACCGACTTCCAGATGGTCGAAAGTGGAACCGACTATTTATCAGAGGCCGATGACCGACTTCACCGACATCGTGATTCGCTACAATAAAAATTATCCATTTAACTGACATCCGAGGGGATCAAATATCCAAGCAGATAGTGTTGTATACATTCGATTGGACCATCAAAACAGAAGCAATCATTGATGTTCACTCATTCCATTACACACCGCTTTATTGAATCTGCTCAACATTAAATGCGATCTTATCTACCTCGGACAAAAAGACAAAAATAACCGCATTATAAATAGCAGAATTTATAGTTGTACAAGGATCTTTTTTTTCGCACATTGTACACGGACTTAAAATGATCTCGGTCAAGAACAAAAAACCGACTTCCTATAGTTTTGTGACACCATCAATAATATACAATTATCATCTTCTTTCTGTTTAAGCACACCTTGCTGTTTTAATTTTGAGTTGTTAATTTCATACAACAACAGTTTGGCGCTAGAAGGAGGGCACCTCTCATACAAAATTGGAGGTTAACCTTTGACCCACTATATATATAACGTGTGTAAAGAACACATCCACACACGTATTATCATCATGTCAAGTTCTGGGCGTCAAGAATGAAATCCAGACACTGGAACCAGTCGTCATCCTGCTCATACTACTGACAATACAACTGTACCATCTATGACGATAGATTACACTGTTCTATTCCAAGACCCAGAGTTTCTCAGAAATCTATCTAATTTTATGGCACAAGCGAGAGCAGGACCAACCATAACGGTTCCTAGTCAAGCTCATGCTTCAAATCCACAAACTAGGCAACGAACGCTGCCTGTTCAACAACAAAATAGTATTCCTGCTGCGTCTCATGCAACTTCCCAACCACGAACACCGGAGTTGCAACGCAATATAGCCGCTCACAATCGTGGTGTAGTTCCTATTAATAATCATCCTCCAGAAGGAATTCAACCTGAAATTACTGTTGAAAGTCACTCTGGGCGTCGTCAACAACAACCGGTGCCTCCATCGCCGGCGACTTCGCAACATGTTCGACAATCTGACTTACGACATACCATTGAACGAAATCGGTTCCGACGTGAGAACGATGAATTACGTCAAACTATCGAAAGGAACCGTTTAAGTCGTGAGTCTGAAGAGTTGGAAATGTTAAGGAAAAGAATTGTCGAGTTAGAAACTTGGTAAGACGGTCCTGAGGAATCCCAGCAACGAGTTCCTATCTCGGAGAACGTCTATCTAGAAGCCGAGACCCCATTGGCTCCTCATTTGACAAGGGAACCACTTCCCTTCAAAGTTAAGGTCCCTCAGATCGGTCTTTATGATGGTACTTCGGATCCAGATGCACACCTCGGTCAATATATCTCATGGATGGACCTTCACGGGGCAACCGACGCACTTAGATGTCGGATGTTTTTTTTAACCCTGGGACCTCGTGCTAAAAAATGGTACCATTCTTTACCTCGGTGTTCAATTTCAAAATGGCAACAATTGAGAACGGCTTTCCGATCTCATTTCATCGGGGCCCGAGTATCCTTAATCCCAAAGGAGTCCATTGCTAATATTGTGTAAAAGGATAATGAGAGCGTTAAAGACTATATTACTCGGTTTAATGAACGAGTACAAAATATGGAGCAATGCCACCCAGAAATGTTGCTGATTACGGTGATAGCTGGATTAAAGCCAAATTCCTTGTTTCGCTGGAGTATTTATCAAAATAAACTGACTTCATTTCAAGACTTTTTAGCTCGAGCTCAGCAACTTATTATAGCTGAGGAATCGATGTCAGTTCCTACTCTCGACTTCTTTCCTAACAAGTCGGAAGTAGAACAAGAATCGAAAAAGAAAAAAAACAAGTCTCTCAAACCGAATAAATCTCGGTTCGGGAATCCTAAAAATCCCGAGGTGAAGGAAGCCAGAGTGGAATATCTTAACGAAGTCAAATCCAGTTATCAGACGGTCTTCTCAGCTGGAGCCGTTACCATCTTTGAAGAATTGAAAGGGAAGGGGATCCTTTCTGACCCCGAACCTGTGAGGACTCCGGAAGAAAAACTAGACAAATCATACCATAAGTCGGTGGGGCATGATACTGATGAATGTATGGGCTTGCTGTCTGCCTTATTGCGGCTTATTGGACATCCACAAGTCCAAAGATTTGCTAAGAATGTTGATTATAAACGAAAAGACAGATTGCCAGAACCCCCATATGATGATGAAGACGATGATCGTCCTGTTAATCCGAAGCGTATTAGACAAGGTGATAAAGAAGTGTTTATGTTAAACTCGTAGGAGAGTGATCCTTCATCTTCGGTTGAAACTGAAACGATCAAACGAAGTGGTTATTCTAATCCTCCTAGTTTTCATAATGTCCCCCGAGTTAATAACAGTAGCGGCAAGTCTTTTGAATCACGTCGGCAAATGAAGGCTTATGCTCGAAAGGCTTATAACTCGGGGAAAACCGTGCTGACGACCGACCTCCGAGATAAAATCAATGCTCGAAATAATTGTCTGATTACCTTCAATGTGGATGATGCTAGCTATTTCGCTCATCCACACTCTGATCCTCTTGTGATCACGGCACCAATTTGGGGGATACCAGTACATCGGATAATGGTTGATACAAGAGCGTATTCGAGTATTTTAATGCTCCGCACGTTCGAACAAATGGGAATTGATCCAGCCGAGCTAAAACCTTGTAAAGATGGGATTCCTGGGAAGGCCTCCAAAGTTATTATGGAGACATTCAAAGTGATGGATCTTAAAAACGAATACAATGTCATCGTAGGAAGAACAGCTCTATATAAGCTTCGTGCAGTTGTCTCAATCTTTCATTACGCTTTGAAATTTCCCACAAACAACGGAGAAGGAACCCATTATGGAGATCAATATGAAGCTCGTGCAATGGTATGAGTTAAGCCCTGGCATGAACCGCCTTCTCCAATACATATGGCAGAAAATACCCGGGATGAACGAGAAAAATCCCCAACTCTTGAGGACTCGGTACTTATTACTACCGAGATGAAAATTGAACCAACCAAAAGAGTCGCAAATCCTAAAAGACATATGTCATGACGACATAACTCGAGATCGTGGAAGACGCCCAGAAAAAGAGCCAATGCACGAGGAGGAGGAGCTTGATCCCCGGACTCAATTTAAAGAGAAAAATAAATTTGACCGAGCCGAACCATCTGAAGAAATTGAAACAATCTTCATTGATGATCCTATTTGTGATAAGTCGCTTCGAATCGGGGCCAATCTTCAGGAACCGATACAAACTCAACTCATCCAGTTTCTCAGGGCAAACCCAGATGTGTTCGCCTGGAAACATGAAGATATGAAAGGGATTGACCCCAATGTGGCTTCACACCGACTTAATTTGATAACAAGTTCATACAGGAAACTAAATATCCGACTTGGGTATCCAATCCAGTTCTAGTCAAGAAAAGCTCCGGAGCGTGGCGACTCTGTATTGATTTCTCCGACTTGAATAAAGCCTGTCCAAAAGACAGTTATCCACTACCACACATTGATTATATGGTGGATGCCACCGCCGGACATGAATTGATGAGCTTTATGGATGCGTACTCAGGTTATAACCAAATTCCAATGGATCCCGAAGAAGCAGAA